ACGTGTTACTTTTGATGTTAAAATTTATTAGATCGCGTACAGGTGCTAGCCAGCGATACATATTAAAAAACGAGGTTACCGTATTAAAAAAGAAGGTTCAAAATTTGACTTGCTTGTATGTATATGTGTTTGTCCGCGTTTATCTCGCGACTGGCTCAACCGATTTTTATGCAGTTTTCAGAAAAGTGTTTGTTATACTTCGGAGAAGGCTTTAGTATATCAAATAACCGACTTCAAAAAAAGAGGGGTTGAAGTAAATTTTTGAAACGTAGTCTATATATATAATGAAACCCGTTTCCCGTTGTCACGCCATAACTTGAGAACAGCTAGACGGATTTGGCTGATCTTTTTTTTGTTGTGTTTGTTATTGTCAGGAGAAGGTTTTTAAGACAGAAGAAATCTTGAAAATCCTACGGGAACGGGAGAAAACGGGATTGCGCGTACGAAGTCGCGGGCAGAAGCTAGTAGTTTATAAAAGAGATATTATCAACTAGACTTGGGTAGTTTGCGAACGAAAGACAAAAATGAACTAGTTCATTAGGAAAGCAGCAACTAATCTTTCGTTCAGTTTTATAATAATAATAATAATATAATAATAATAATACGTTTATTGGTAGAATATTGTTACAAAGGTGTTACAAATAAATTTATGTTCTGAATATTCTGCTGTTTCCAGCGTACAAATATTAAAAGTTAAAATTAAAACAAGACAGGTAAAAACATACAATCAAAAATAAAAAATTGGATAATATGGACGATTAATTATCACAATGTAGTAAAATTATTTTCGGTACAAAATTAAGATTATTTTTACAATTTACTTAAAGGATAATAAAAAGTCGTCTAGGTTGAATTTAGAATTAAATTTTTCATTCAAAAAATCATTTGTTGAATAATAACATTTATGCAAAAGAAAACAAAACAGCTTCTTTTTAAATTCCATAAGATTAAGGCTGTATCAGTATACAGACTGTATCTCTAGTTTACTAGTTTATCAACCGTATTATTTTGTAATATATTTAGATCTTGACTTTTTAGATTCTACTTGATTATAGCATTTGTTGAAAAATCGTAAAAATGTGGCTTTCTTAATAGATTTTTAACATCATCCATGTTGACTTGCTATATTTTGTTTAGGCAATGTACCTAATGAATCATTTTCCATTTGGCTTTGCAGTCTACTGCCTCCAGCCTCCCACAATTGAGCACGCCCGCCACTCCGCGCTCCCTGAACAAGCTACCTTCGACCTGGATGCCACCGTGCAGTACAACTGCCATACTGGTTACGTCACGAATGGATTCCCCAGAGCCAAGTGCTTGGCAATCGATGGTCAAGCTTCTTGGTATGGTCCTGACATTAGCTGCGAACGTGAGTATACTCTCTCGAATATTTTGAATGGTTCTATCAATGACATCCTAAGAAAATTGAAGACAGTTATTACCGCTAGCCATCAGCTTTAAAAACTTGATAAAGATTTATATTATGACAAAAAACTGCTATCAGTTCGAAAACTTTACTATCATGTCAGGAATCTGATAGTATTTTTCTTTTGTGATGATTTTAATAATACAATAAAAACAGAATGACGTCACGGGTCCTACATCGCACGACAGTTAACACCAAAATTCCTAATGAATTATTCGGTAATTGCTCGCCAGGCATGATCACTTTGTACGCGCAGATCTTTTTTTTTTAAATGGCACAAGCCCGCTACAACCTCCCAAAACCGCTGCAACTCCTGTAAGCCAGGATCTACAGTAGATACAACCATGAAAACACCAGAACACTGAAGTCCGGCGCGTCCCAGTGACATGAATAACTGTCTTAGTTCCCGCAACGAAGCGCAGAAAATCTGTTTCCTGATTTGCTATTAAATTTTTTTGATTAAAGCAAAAATCCTGTTTCCAGCTCGATCCTGTGGCGAACCTGGCGACGTACCCCACGGCTGGGTGACGGCTGACTGCCATACTTTTGGCTGCCGAGCGGTCGTCCAATGTGGACAAGGCTTCGAGCTCGTCGGCAAGGCTGAAAGATACTGCCAGGCTGACGGGGCTTGGGCTCCCAAAGAACTTCCCACCTGCGTCCGTAAGTAGACCTTATTTTGGATACTTTTGAGGCGTCTTCATGATGAGCCGCTTTGAAGAGAGGAGCCAAAAGACTTTTGGTAGTTTCAAATGGAGTCAGTTGTAACTCGTGTCTAATAATTTAGTGTCTATCCTAGAACTAATTGAACTAAGAAAAATGGCTTTAAAGAAGTATCTTAATGTGAGGATTTCAGTATTTTCATTCTAAAGCAGATTTTAAATAAACTTAAGTAGACTGATTTGAATAACTTGAAGATTGAACTGATTAATGTAGATAAATAACTATAAGTTAGTGATGGTAGTAGTTAGACTGCCTCGTTGGTCGAGTGGTCGCAAGTGCGACTTCCGGGCAAGGGGTTCGATTCCCTGATCGGGCAAAGTATTACTGGGTTTTTAAAAAAATCTCAGTAGTAGCAAAAAATCTCAGGAGTTTAGAATTGTGCCCGGTATATGGCAATAGGCTCACCCCCTATTACATGGGACTCATAACATAAATAGTGACAAGTGGGTGTTGCATTGTACAGTGGCATAATGTGCACCTCTGCCTGTCCCTCCGGGGATAAAAGGCGTGATGTTATGTTATATGTTGTTAGTGATGGTAGTAAATATAACTAAATAAAAGATAAATAAGTAACAGAAGGTTCTATAAATGAAGGGGCTCATCATGGAGATGCAATGTATTTCCAATATTATCTGCGAGTGGTCTTGCTTCGTGACAATGTAGTTGCCGATTTCAGTGTTGTCCTTCATTTTGGAATGTTGCATGGTACCGGTTCTCAATCTTACCTACATTACATCGGTAATAGATCGCATGACGCTTAAACAAATGATTATCATGGCTATCATCGGAGCAATTTCATTGTCATGACGCAATTTATGGAAATCCCACTTTTACTTGTTGTTTTTTAATATTATTGGTGTTGGATTGTTTATTGGGATTTTAAGGATGTTTTTCCTATTTTCTATTATACAGTAGGTTCTTTTATTTACGTTATGGGAGGGAAATTTTTTATCAAAAGTGGGAATTCCTCTGAAATTTGCCAAAAATGGATATTTCTGATTGTTTTTTCTCCTTTTAATGCTGCTTAGAAGGAGATGCCGGGACAGTTTGAGCATCCATTGCATTACGTAGTATATCAGAAGTAATGTTATTATAGAAACGTTGTCACCTTCAAAGTCTATGAAACTATCATTTTCCGCAACTTTAAAAGTTGTTTCTTTCTGTGGCCATGATAAAAATTGTCGTTAACTGCCTATCTGACTATTAGATGATATAGCAATGTTAGTAGTATTTGATGTTTATTGTAAATTTCTATCTTTAAACGCTGTAGTGAAATAAATGTACAACAAAAATTATACTTGTTTTATTTTTGCATGTTTGCATGGTTGAAATTGGTAACAGTGCCATCTGTGTTTGATCGGGTATTGTTAAAGCGACACGTGTCGCCATCTAGTGGTAACGCAGGTGCAGTGTCCGCCGCCTGAGGCGCCGCGGCACGGCAAGGCAGTGTACACATCTTGCGCATACAATTCGGTCGTGTCATACGAATGCAAGTATGGATACCGGCTTGTGGGAGACGCGACTAGACGATGTGGCGCTGACAAGAAATGGTCTGGTGGACAGCCGATGTGTAAAGGTAAACCTAAGTATATTTAACTTTCAATCTCATATCACGTTTCTCTTCGCCTGTCAACTTACACTCCTGTCCTACATAAAGTTCTCTTAACAAAGAACAACATAAACACTGCATACTACATATCACCCTTTGCATTCACTTTCACAGCTAAAAATCACAACAGCTTATGCATTCTCCATCACTTAAGCCAATAACTAGTAGTCTATAAGTAAATGCTTACTTTTGTCCCCTGTCTATGGTTTCAGAGATCAACTGCGGTCACCCTGGTCAGCTATGGAACGGTTGGTTGGAGAATATTTCCTCTGGAACTGGACTGGGTGCCTCCATAATCTTCAGATGTCAGGATGGTATGAAGATGGAAGGCAATGGGTCTGCCATCTGCCAAAATGATGGCACTTGGAGTCATCCGTTGCCGATGTGTTTGGGTGAGTCAAGAGTTTAAGACTTTATTAGACTTTTAATGCAATCAATATTTGAATACTTGAGAGTTAAATTCTCACTTCTGAAAAGCATATAAGTGACCCCAACTTACTTAGGAAGTAGGAAACAAGAGGTAAATTAATTATTATGTTTTCGGCTTACTCACGTAAGTGTTTGATGAGGAACTTGACTAGTTTCAAGCCATGCTACAGTGGAGGCTCGTATTCATGAACAGGATTCCGTAACACGTGACGCGGCGTCTGACTACTCGTAGTAACCCGAAAACTTTATCATTAATTAATTATATCTCACGAGTTTTAATATAAAAACCGGAGTCAGTCAATTCGTAAAACAATCTAATATTAAGGATGAGTGATAGGACCCTTTACAAGGACAGTTGATTTTGTCTTCTAATAATCGTTTAAATAACTTATTATAATTTATAAACACTATCCTTTCGTCCATCTGCTCATTTTGTGGAGTTTTAACATCACAATTTTATGTCGCATATTTCAGCGCCGTGTGTGGTGCCCCACGTGTCTCAAGGGCGAGTAGTGCTGGTAGAGAACAAGACAGGAGACAACAGCACCCATGAGGGCAACACGCAGATTGTCGGCAGCTCCACAATGGTGCAACATGGTATGTTAGAACATGAAAGCAAATAAGAAAGATATCAAACTGCGAACTTAAATGCTGCTGCTTTTAAATGAACTAAAAAACTTAAAAACTTAACTGCGTTGCCCACAATGGCGGGCAACGCAGTTGTAACACTTTTGGTACCTATTGCGGGCATTTAGGGGCTGCGCTGACCATTAGCTAAACCGATTGATCATTTGTCCATCTAATTAAAAATATTTAATCATTTTGATTCATATCTACAGCACGAAGTCAGATATCCAGAAGTTCTGTCAAGCAGATTCTTAAAAGATATTTATTTTGTTATCTGGTGTTTCAGGTGAAATTATCGTGGTGGAGTGCGCAAAAGATTATGAGTTTCCAACGAATAATGCAGCTGTGACGTGTAACAATGGAACCTGGACACAGATTCCGAGGTGTCAACCTGCCAGGTAAGAAGATGTAGATCTTATTCAAAGCACTAATAAAGTAGTACTTAACGAGTTCGGTCTCACTAATTCATTTTAACACACATCTCACGTACTGGTAAAAGCGTTTAATAGATCTGTGACTAGAGACCTGTTAGGCAGAAGCACTCTCCAATAAATCTGAAATTCTTTAACTGGAATTTTCATACCATAGACCAATCAGAAATATTGGCCGGTCAGAAACTGTTAATGAACTTAAATTACTAAACATTATTAAGCCTCACCATTTTTTTCTTAGATGCAAGAAGATGCCCAAATTCCCGCGGAACGGAATGGTGATAGCGCCCAAGACTGAGCATGGCATGAAGGCGCGGTTCAGATGTAAGGATGGATTCGAACTGAAGGGGAACCCCATTGTTGTGTGCTCTTTTGGAGTTTGGAGTGGAGAGACGCCTAAGTGCGAAGAAGGTATGGCAACATTTGGATTTGTGATGGCAAAGTTATTTATCGCAAGTTTGGTTTTTTTTACTGAATACAAGTGTTCATGTTCCTATGTTAATATAAGGACTTTTGATCTTACATTGTTTATTTCCTAAAACTATTTTGCGTATGTAATAAGCTAGCCAAAGTAATAAATTTGTTAAACCATCAACAGTTTTTAAAAATTGTAATTATAAATTCTTGTCTTTCATTTCAGTCTTTTGCCCATTCCCTGGCTATATAGAAAACGGAAAAGTCCTACTCGTCGGTAACATGGGCTTATACGACTATCGACCTTATGTTAAAAAGGTATCTGCTTCCCTATTTAATACTTGATTCTTTCTCTATTAAGACTTATTTTACAAAAGCCTTTGAATTTTCAGGTGGTTAATAATAAGCAAATAATGTATGAATGTGAGAAAGGATATGTTCTATCTGAAGGTCCACCAGGAGCCACTTGTGTTGGAGGCCATTGGAGTCCAAGAGAACTGCCAAAGTAAGATAACAATACTAAAACAAGATACTCAAAATCTCGGCCCAGATTTCACCTTCTATTCTTTGCATTTCCAGGTGCACACTTTACCAGCATCCACGAATTAGATGGAGCCGTCGACGCCGATCCATTCCAGATCCAGAAATCCGTCATAGAAGATCTACATACCTTCGACAATATTACAACAACCTCCATCGCCAAACTGACCCTTCACAACAATACGTTGACCAACTTTACGATAAATACAACCATGGAACCTCTAAACCAACTTTAAGGCATGCCAACTTCAAAATCATGAAGAAATTCGACTTTGACGGTGATATGGAAACTCCTACTAGTGTTGAAAATAATGATGAAAACTTCCCAACTGCCGTGTATACTATTTATAACATTCATGGAGAACCTATTGGTCATAGATTGTATTCATATCAACCAGTGTATGAACCAGAAGAGGACGATGTAGTACAGCATGGAGATACTTCTGAGTATGAAGATTCTGAAGAAGGAGACGATGAATTATCCCATGTAACAGTACTCAAAGGTGGAATGTTTGATGAACACAGTACTGATAGCAATGCTGACAATATAAACAAACTCAAACACGAGTATTTCGAACGATATGTTGATAAAAGACGAAAAAGATTTTTAATTAAAATATCTGGGGGTGCAAAAAAGAATTCGGATAATACTCAAGATGAAGAAGATGATTTGGAATTAGACGGTACGAAAAAAGTACTAGACATGGAACTAGAAGGTGATGAAACTAAAATTGATACTGTAACAAAAGTCCCACCAGAGAGTACTACTAAAGTTAGAATCAAACGAGGAATAAATAATGAAGAATATGATACAAATAATTGGACTCTAAAACCGACTACAGAAGATATAAATTTCAATAATGAAATTAATCTTGATTTATTAAAAGTAGTACCTTTGGCCACTAAACTAAGTGAACTTGATTGTGAAGATAGTAAAGAAATGACTGTTATACCTTTAAAACATAACTTTGAAGATAAAGATTTAAGTAAAGAAGTTGCTATCGTACCTTTGCAATACAACAAAACAAATTCCACAGAGGTTGATAACATTTTGGATAAGCGAGACAAAAGAACGAGTAGGAAAACTGATAGATTGAATCAGACTACTGCTACTGTTCCTAAAACGTAAGTACTTTTGTAATTGTATAATGTATAATAATATTGTCGTAGCAGCCAGTATATATCGCCGCGTCAGTCGCCGCATCGCATGTTGCGGAAAGCTGCTTACGAATATGAGCCTCTAGAATGGCTTGAAACTAGTCGAGTTCCTCTTCAAACAGTTACGTGAGTAAGCCTAAAACACAATAATTAAGTGAATAGTGTATAATACAGTTGAAATCAAATTTCTAACAAGTTAGTAAAGTTATATTTTAACTCTATGTGGTTTCTGCGAGTAAAGAGATGAATGAAGAACAAATAAATCCACAAACTGCTAAGTTTTTTAAGTGTATACGTATAAACCAATGTAATACCAAAATATTTATTTCCAAGAATTACAATATAGTTTACAATTACAATGAAAAAACAATTTTTACTTGCAATTGATCGACTCTAACACATGATACCATATAAATGATAATATCTTTACAGAGGCAGGGAAGGTAAGGGTGGTAGAAACAGACAACAATCATCCTCAACAGGAGAAGATCAAGATCAGACCGAGACTAAAGACGTAGTTGAAGGTAACAGTCCACAGAATACCACGGAAAAGGGTAAAAAGGGACGCCCCAAATCCCCTTGTGAACCCATTGAGAGCGAACCGTATGTTAATATTGAGATTGTAAAATATGGACGGGATCCTAATAATACGTTTAGTTCAGGTAAATACCTATTAATAATATTTTTTACTCTTTTCTAACCCCAAAGTGATATTTAATTATAATATATTTTTTATTATTACGCTATACAACAGACTCAATCGTGATCCTGGATTACGATCCAAATATCACGATAAATGACTGACTGCACGGTTGGCGCGGTGGCTGGGCAACTGGCTGCCGCGCAACGTGTCGCGGGTTCGATTCCCGCACGGAACAACTCTTTGTGTGATCCACAGATTGTTGTTCCGGGTCTGGGTGTCATGTGTATGTGATATTGTATGTTTGTAAACGCACCCACGACACAGGAGAAAATCTTAGTGTGGGCCAACGTTTAAAAAAAAAGATATCGAGCGTCTAGCATTCTATGTTACCACACCTATGTAATAGGAGGATTAAGCTTATTGCCATAATAGCTCAATTCTAGACTGCCGCCTCACCCAGGCGCTGATTACTCCGGCGATGATTTTACCCACTTAAAAAAAAGACTAGATGACTTTTTAAAAGCCCGGCAACGCCCCTGTGACTCCTTTGGTGTTGCAGGGGCGATCAGGGGATCCGTCTGCTCAATTGCCTTTCTTTTCCATAAAAATAGGATGTTACACTACTATTTTTTTTTAAACAACCGAAGGTGCTTTGCTCCTTTCCTCCTTATCATAACGGCCAACACAGCGGTTTAGAGAGATTTAAACACTCAAAAGTATTAGAAAACACTTTACATATTCCAGGGACAATAGTTCGTGTAGCCTGTGGGAAAGGTTACGGATTGAACTTGGAAACGAATGCGACAGCCAAATGTGTGCGAGGGAGATGGAAACCTGAAAAACCAAAATGTGAAATACGTGCGTATCTTTCATATAGGTCTAAAAGTTTTCAATGAATGACAATAAAATCTTCTAAGAACTGACTTATGACACTGCCGCGCTTAAAGACATTAATTTTAACATTCTATAAAATAAACTCCAACTCCATAATTTCAGTTCCCTGTCATGTGCCCTCGACGGAGTATGGTATCTACACGATGTCAGCTGACTCTGGACATCCAATGACGGCCAGTCAGGTCCTGGGCTCCAACCTACAAGATGAGAAGGAACTGAATGAGACTGATCCGGTACCTAATGGACAGGTCGTGCATTTTTCCTGTGAATATGGGTAAGGAGACAATAATATAATTTAGAAGGAACTGCGAAGAATAATAGATGTTACCAGATTTGGCTATAAATAACTTTTTGATTTCTTTATTTCAGATATAATGTGCAAGGTCCAACGAATCTCCGTTGCTGGCTAGGAGAGTGGGCAGTGACCAGTATGCCCGAGTGTGTAGCAGGTAGGTAGTGAATAAAATAGTATTCACGACAATGTTCACTCCACATCATAAGCAAAATTTAATTTAAAAAGTGAGCAATGTTTCAATAGGATATTACAAATACAACGTGCAGAGTATACTTACTTGAAATCAAGGAAACATAGCTTTACACGATCGTAGATGCAATCTACATAGCCCTCCAAAGCCTAACTTGATTCCTCAAACAATATTTCCAGCTCCTTGCGAACTCCCATTGCTTCACGGTGCTACATACGAAGCAGGGTACCGTGCAGGACTAACAGTAGCTCACGCCTCCTCCGTCAACATAGCCTGTGAGCCTGGCAGATCACCGCCAGCAACACTGAACTGTCATCTAGGAAGACTGCAGCCCACCGTCCATGATTTCTGCAGACCGCTTGGTACGTATGTAAAAATTAAATATAAAACTCGCTTTTTCCTGAAAATTATTAAAACTGAGATCTTTTTGATCTTATTTTGGCTTTTTAGGACCAAGAATATTTGAAATAAATTATAGGAATGCACATTTTGAACACAATCAATTAACACAATGATACCAATCTAATTGAGACAGTAATTAACTAATTAATTTCATCAAACTATGAGTCAGATCCCGTATTTAATAAATGGTTAACAAATTGCTTCTATGTCTAATAGTCACTGAGACAAATTCAATATTAAAAACAGTCTCACTAACAAATCTATCTCTCTTTTTCAGCTAATCTAACCCGTCCACGTCCAACATCAGAATACCAAAGCGGTTCTGACATAGTTCGGGAAGATATTTCAGAACTGGAACCAGACATCGATGCTACTACTAACACAGACTGCGGTCCACCAGCCAGGTAAACTATTTAACTAAATCTGTAGGTAGATGAGGAAGAGCTAAGCACATGTTATCGAGAAAGTAGAAAAAAAGAAATATGTAGAGATATACTGTCGGATATAGATGGGGGTACCGGGTACAGTATTATTTAGTATAGGGATTAAACTGAAGAATAGTGAGAATGTCATGTTTAACGTGAAACAAAGATACAGAATGAAATTTAAAGATATAGGCGTTGCTAACAATCATTAAAAGCTTTTAGGGATGATTTATTGAAGAAGTTAGAAAGGCAAGACGAACGAATTGTTTATAAGAGAGGACAATAAAACACAAGTTACCATTACTCGAAACAAAACAGATTTATGAAATCCAAAGAAATATAAGCCCTAAGAATCAGATGTTAAGTTTTAAAACATTGTAATTTTTTGTGCAGGAATCCACAAGAAGTCAGGTAATGTGTGATTAGCTCTGAATGTGATTATAAAAAGCTAATTAATAATAAACATAATGACACTAGTACGTGAAATTCGAGTTTGTTTATTTTGACCAAACGCTTTCATTGTAGCTTCTGTGGTTTTTGTTTTAACATGTCTCGTTACGCCATATTGGTTAACAGATAACGATATTAATAATATTCTCCAATTCATGAAAGGCATTAGCTTAAACATTTGAGTTGACAATAATAATGTTGATGCTAGTGATTACGAAAAATCAAAAACTATTTTGAAAATGACATGATGACGACTTATAGCAAAAATGAAGTCATTGATTTTGTCTCTAACGTTTGAAATAACAAAATAAGGAATTTAATGCTATTGGGTGTTCTTCAGGGCACAGTTCTTGGTCCTCCTTAAATTCCCTAATACTTGTATATTTTGCTATATGAATTAAAATGATTGGGTTAAACACAATTGTTACTTTACCATAATGTTTTAGGTACCAAATATGGCATACAGACATGTTTTTCAAATAATTTTTGGTTTCGTCACTCATCCAAATCACGTTGAAGGATCAAACATTATAGCTCTAGAATTCTAGTCTTTCACACGAAAGGAATATTGTATATAATGGTTTGTTCTAAATGTTAGATCCTTGCGCTTTGGAGCAGATGATTTGTTTTGTTTACTTTTTGTTTTTATTTAAGTTCGCTCTTGTAAATTGTGATAAGCAAAACGTGAAGGAAACTATGGTCAGTGTATTTTAACTACTTATTTAGTGGTATTGTCAAATCTTTGTAGCATCTAATTTGCTTGAACGAATTTATGAATCAAAGACTCTGTTAAGGCTTCTCTTTGATGAGATCCTTATCACACGGTTCGGTTTGAGGCCTTAGGCGCCCGAAATAATTATGTAAAGGTTTTAAAATTTTATGTTACTGACTGACTGCAGCTTCCTCCAACAAATCACTGTCATCCAACTAGGATGAAATGAGCCGCGATAAAAAAGAAGTAATGTGTTTGCAAAGATATGCGTTTCTTATTTGCTCGCTGAAGACTGAAGGGAACCCAGGCGTTCAGGGATGCGAAGCCCTGGTGAGAGCCTTATAGGTTCGAAATTTTGCTTCTTTACTAACTCACGTCATCACTTACTCATTGATAGTCATGCTCATCAGTTTCAAATTCATGTTTTGACATTCTTCCGTGACTTCTGGTGTGGGTTTGACTAAGAGAGAATAATATATTAGAAGGCACTCTTCTTTGCTTGGAAATCCTGTATTAAAATCTGTTGTTGCCCATAATTATAGAGGACGATACCCTCTTCTCTCTCAACTATTAAATCCTTGACCGTCACTGGAAGCTTTATTATTGAGAGAGCATATCCGTTTCCGGCGATTTCTTATCGATTTTAAGTACTTTTTTGACCTACCCAGTGGCGCCACCTGGTGTTTGCTTGCCATTTTAGTTTCGTAAAATGTCCGAGCAACATTTTGTTCATTGGCGTTTCGTTCTCCGGCGAAGCAAGTCGTGTACATCGGTTCCCGACCGATGCACGAACTTACACTATAATATTCTTATCTTTTGTTCTTAATATATTTTAACGGTTTTTCCGTTCGAATTATTATCTTTATACAATTAAGTATCAATATTGTGCCGATTAAATGGTGAGTTAATTTTGAAGAAAAACTGTAAGTACCTACCCTACTTTTTAAAAGTGATCAATACTTTCAACGGATTATTCCATTCGAAGATTTATTACATGCTTAATGCTTTTAATATTTGTGTGTGGTGACAATCTTATTATGTTTTAATTTGAAAGTGTGTTTTGTATTTTTTGAATGTGCATTTATTTGAAGGTTTTATTGTGATAATGGATGATCAAGTAAATGTTTCTGCTGCCGAACCACAAGTTGTGGCCGGCCCGAGTAAAAAGACCCGCAAAAGAAATGTTAGCAGCTCTAGTAGCAGCACGACCTCTAGTAGCTCTTCAAGTTCATCTTCTCCTAAACGTAGCAAGCGGTCACGCCGCTCTCGCCGCAAGAAGAATAAGCACGCCCAACAGTCTAATTCGACCTTGGACAAGCTTATAAAAGAAGTTCATGAGCTACGCGAACAAGTTTTTGTTAATAATATACATAATGCTTGCCATGATGAGGTATCAGATTGTTCGGGAGTCAGTGGAGAATTATATAACCAACATATTGAAGAACAATATCCAGAATGCCCTAACGTTAAAAATCAAAATTCAGATTTAGACTTCACTTTTGATATCGAAACAAAGCTTAAGGAACCATCTGTTCCAAAAACTCCTGAAAACCTTTTAAAAATGTTACTTGATGTTCAGCATTTGGGTAGCACCGCCTGGTCTGAAGTTAGATATTCTGATACTCAAAAACTTTATAACCACAGTCCAGGTTTCATAGACTTGGACACAAATGAAGAGATTAAGACGTATGATACCTCACGTCATCTTGCACATGCCGATAAATCATATGCTGCAATTACTTTTTGTATCCTTAAACAAAAAGAAGCTTTACAAGAAGCTATTCGTAATCTCCTTTTGTGGGCTAAAAGTGCACAAGTCGATTACGATAATTTAAGCAGGAAGGTCGAAGAATTATTTCAAAAAAGTGATTTGCATAAAATCTCTTCAGACCTGATACAATTAGTTTGTGGCCATCGAGCCGAAAGTATAGAAATGCGTCGAGAGGCAATTACTAGTCAAATTCGAGACCCATTAGTTAAAGCATCCCTGAACAAAATACCCCCATCATCAACTCATTTGTTTAGTTCCGATTCCTTTGCCACAGCATTAGAAAAAGCTGGCGGTGTACGCAAAGCTTTTTGGCCTCCAAAATCAGAGTCTCATACCAGACCTAATCAATTTAATCGCCGCCCCTCGCGGGGGCTAGGCGTACAAAAACCAATAGCTTCATCGCGTGAAGCTCAGCATTGTATTTGTTGCCATGAACCAGGCATACCAATACATACTATGCATACCTATGATAACTCACCCTCGCGGGGTGGATATTTTCGCACCAACCATACAAACAAAGGCCACAGTCTACCCTCCTTTCAATCTGACCAGTATGCTGGTAGAGGTTCATTTCACAACCGTGGCTCACGGTCCGATCGTGGAAGTAACCGAAGTAGAGGACGTTCAAACCATTCAAAAAGTTCTCGAGGGAACCAAAAACGATACAAACAATGACTCGAATCGGTTTCAAGCGGGTCAGTTAGCTCACTACCGCTCGAAATGGAAGAAAATGGGGGCACCAGAAATTGTTCTAAAATTAATTCAAGGCTATCGCATACCATTTATCCACAAACCGCCTCTGATATACCCAAATGTAATAAACGGGTCGTTCCAAACACCTGTCTCACAAGAAATGTCTGCAATAATAAACAAAATGAAATCTCAAGGCATCCTAAAAGTTGCTCAACTCTCACCGAGTTTCATTTCCCCTCTATTTTTGACACCAAAACCCGACGGATCAGCTCGACCCATATTCAACCTGAAAGCGTTAAACGAATTCGTAAAGGCCCAACCATTCCATTTAATAAATATGTATCGCATCCCAGACTTCCTACAACCGCAAGACTGGATGTGCAAAGTGGACCTATCACAGGCGTATTTCCACTTAAAAATTTCAAAATCACACAGGCGCTTCCTTCGCCTTATCTACAACCAACAACTGCTAGAAATGACCTGTCTTCCGTTCGGTTTAAGCACTGCACCGAAAACATTCTCTATACTAACGAATTGGGTTGCCCGAATACTACGAGAACGCTGGGACATCCGAATCATAGTCTACCTCGACGACTATTTAATAGCAAATCAAAATGTACACGTTCTTCGAGATCACGTACAACTCACATTAGATTTGTTACAAAATCTTGGGTGGCAAGTAAATTTCGAGAAATCAGTTCTTTGTCCTCAAAAAACTATAACATTTTTAGGCATATTGTGGAGTCCCTGGGACAACTTAAAATCCCTACCAAAAGAAAAGACTTCATCGCTTATCAAAAAGGTCAGTTCAGTTCTCGATCAAGGAATAGTAACTGTAAAAGAGCTGCAGAAAATAATAGGGCTCTTAAATTTTGCCAGTTACGTCGTCCCTCGGGGCCGACTCAATCATCGACAACTATTGATGTTCATGAACTCACTACCAGACCATGTATCGAAAACTTACCCATTGCCAAAAAATGTTCGAAAGGAGCTAGAATGGTGGACCTTGAATTGTCAGTTATCAACACCTCTGCATTACCCCCCGGCAATAAACTTCCTGACAACAGATGCATCAAACCAAGGTTGGGGAGCACAACTGAACAATTTGGCTGTATCGGGCAAATGGTCGCAAGAGGAAAAGACATTGCATTCCAATCAAAAAGAAATGCTCGCCATATTTCGCGCCCTCCGAGACCACGCTCACCTACTCCGCAACAGCTCGATCCTGATACAGTGCGACAACAGGACAGCTGTCAGCTATCTAAGGAACGAAGGAGGTACGAAATCATTACCCTTAATAAAATTGACATATCAAATTCTGAATTTAATGGACCAATTTCAAATACACTTCAGCATACACCATCTCCCAGGCAAGTACAACAACCATGCCGACCACTTGTCACGTGTTCGCCGACCTCCGGAATGGCACCTAATGCCAGCTTGTACGCAAATGGTGTTTGCAAAGTGGGGAACTCCAATAATAGATTTGTTTGCATCAGAGACAGCCCACGTAGTTTACAATTATGTATCCCGAGACCTGAAGGACCGACAAGCTCTGTTTCACGATGCATTCAGTGTCCCATGGAACTATCCACTTGCATGGATATTCCCACCTCCGTTCTTAATTCCAAAAGTACTAACACACCTGAATCAATCAACAGGAATATTTTTAATAATAGTACCTCGATGGGAGAAGGTATTTTGGCGTGCAGATCTCAAAGTCCGCGCACTAGCTCCACCACTAACTCTGAAAGATTTACAAACGCACCTGATCGACACATCGACGGGGCTTCCACCACCACAAGTAGACAAAATCATCCTCGAAGTTTGGAAATGTGGGGGTGGTCCGAAGCGATAGAAACATGGACCCCTGAACAACGGTTATTGCTCAAAAATTCTTGGCGTAAATCCACATTGAAAACATACGAGGTAGCTTGGAAACGTTGGACTTCCTGGTCTATGTCTAAAAACATTGACACGAACAATCCGTCAGGTACTCAACTAGCTCAATTTTTATCTGATTTGCATCTTATTCATAATTTATCATATAATACGATTCTTTTACATAAATCTGTTGTTTCCACCTTATGTAATGCCGACAGATCAAATCAATTAAGTTCACATGTCCTTGTAAAGCATATTTTAAAATCAATTTCTCTGAAAAATCCAAAGTGTCCTAAGCCACCAATTTGGGATGTTAGTCAGTTAATCACGTATATGAGCAATTACACCGTAAACGTAAACAATCTCTTTCAAATATCACGCCATACTGCGATTATATTATTACTTTGCTCAGGTAGACGCATCCATGACTTAACGCTGCTTAGAGTTGATCCTGACTATTATATTAGATCAGATGGTAGCATTATATTATGGCCTCAATTTGGTTCAAAAACGGATTGTAGTGCTCGTAGACAATCTGGCTGGAAACTTCTTACAAATCCCAACAATTGTAATCTAAATCCTATATTCTGGATAGAGAAAACTATACAACTATTAAATGAACGACGTAATGCTTCAAACTCATTTAATTTGTTTATTACAATCCGAGGTGTACCAAAGCCTGCTTCACGCACTGTCATTGCAGGCTGGGTTAAAACCCTTTTCAAAGAAGCTGGCATCATAGCTACTCCAGGAAGTACACGATCTGCAGTAGCATCTAAAAGTTGGCTAGAAAATCATCCCCTGGACGAAATCCTATCTCGAGGAAATTGGCAATCAGCTAATACATTTCAGAATTTCTACAGAAGAGAAGTGATAAGAAGTGGTGATTCGAATCTAAATGTTACGGAATTGTTTAATCCTATTAATTAACTAGGCACTTTTTATGTTTTTGTTTTGTTATTAGATCACCAATAGATCAATCAAATAAATATGTAACTTTATGTTTGTAAAAAATATATATTTTTTCTAATAAATTGTGTTTTAAAAATCCCAAATAAATTCTTATCACATTGGCGTTAGCACATTAGTGGCGTCACCAGGCGATAACAAACAGGTCTCAATAATAAAGCTTCCAGTGACGGTCAAGAATTTAATAGCAGCGTTTTACCTGAAATAAAACGCATATTAAATACTTACCTCACTGGAAGCTTTAGTTTTACTTCTGCCTGGTTATTATTGAGCCAATGAACAAAATGTTGCTCGGACATTTTACGAAACTAAAATGGCAAGCAAACACCAGGTGGCGCCACTGGGTAGGTCAAAAAAGTACTTAAAATCGATAAGAAATCGCCGGAAACGGATATGCTCTCTCAATAATAAAGCTTCCAGTGAGGTAAGTATTTAATATGCGTTTTATTTCAGGTAAAACGCTGCTATTATTGTTAATGGCTAATATAAATTTTCAGTATCTAATTCCTGTTTGAGAACTACCCTTTGAGAGGTACCTGGTGATTATTCCAACTATAAATTACTTCTGCACTCTGTGAACCTCCAACTGTTTCTCTTTAGAATGACTCCAAATGTGGTCAGTCTTTTTTAACGTTAACTATCAAGTGCTAAGAATCTTAGTCACTCCCAATACATCACATTATCATACTTTTTCAAGGGTTAACGTCACAATCATGGTACAAATCCTCGGAATGCAGGGCTTAGTTAACGTTGAAAAATATACTTTCTACCTATGTTGATAAGAACGCTAATTGTATGGCCGTAACCTGGCTTCTTATGTCTTGGCCGAGCTTCTGTTTGGTTGCTAATTATTTCAAAATTTCGACTTATAGTGCATGATCAACGGATTTGGTTTACCGTTTATTCTAAAATTTGTCTTTTCTATTTAATGTTTTACCTGAATCTAGTATTTTATTGTGGTCACTGGTGAAATTTTGAATTCTATCAAGTAAATGCTGTGTTACTGAAGCATTATCTTCTACCACCTTTGCCTTAAACTTTCTAGATTTTTCTCGTTCATCAGTGGCCTAAAAGTGTTTGTTTGTGTTTTGGGGTTCAGTATTTTGGAATAATTCCTTGAAGGGTCCAGGGTACGCTGATATATCGAGATGGGGCTGAAGTGAACAGCTCTTTAGGAGTGGAAGGGTACCCTCATGGCACCGAGATCACGTTTAGATGCATAGCATCGATCATGGGAGAGAAGACCACTTGGAAGCTGATTTGCGAGCAGGGCAACTGGGTTGGCAAGAGTTTCAATTGCGGTAAGTTGCTCATTCTAACTCACTTAAGCAATAAACTACAAAAACTTTGTTGGTGTTACTACCTCAAAAGAAATTATAGCCCATGTACCAAATGTAACGAGGACTACTGTTTTTGTGTTATGTCATTCTCTATTCTCAAAGGTGTAAACTAAGGTGCGCAACGTCAGGCTTATAAAAAGTATTCTCCTAATATGTATACAATTTATTTGTTTATGATAAACAGAAGAATTAGAAGCTCAGAATGAGGACCTGATGAACAACAACAGCTGTACCTTCGAGAATGATGAGCCGAACGTGGTGGCATTCTATAATGATATGCAGATTACTGAGGTAGTGGACTTTCCTGCTGGAGCTATGATCACATCCAGGTAAATGAACTAAAATAAAAATCGCGGGTTACTCACGAGGAAATGCTGAAAAAAGCTCTACTAGTTTCGAGCCACAGAGGGCTCTTCCTCATGAGCAGCGTGCGCGGTCACGGCGATGTCGTAAAGCCTACTTTCTCTGAGTATTTTCACGTGAGTAACCCGTGATTCTTAGTTAATTTAGGTATGGTAACTGATGATGATGATGATGATGATGACGACGACTTAGTGCACATAGGTTGTCGGTTATTTTGGAGTTTCATATTGAAAGGACAAACTTATTGTGCAATAACAGGGTCAATTTTCGACTTTGTTTATTTGGCTCAGAATTTGATAATCGAAATCTCTACGTGACTTGTCCTAAACTCAGAATGACATCCAAGATCCTTTTTAAGGCTGATGCGCTTGCTTTTAAAGAGAGAGAAACTTGTTGTGAATAATTGAACAAAATTGTATTTTAGGTGCAGTGACATCGGAAAGTACTCTATGTCTGGGTCTCAAACCCGTAAATGTATCGGAGGGTCCTGGGATGGTGTCAAACCGACTTGCGTTGGACTTAACCAGCAGATGGATTATGCCAGTAAGTTGATATGAAACATAATATTAAATCTAATATATCATGCTAGGCAGTTGCGCTTGCGACCAATCGAAAAATCAAGGCACCATCACAGTAATACATCATAACAGGCAAGCGCAGCGTAGGACGTCCATCCGCAAGGTTGATAAACGACCTGATGAAGGTCGCAGGGAGCCGCTGGATGCAGGTCGCTTCCAACCGGCCTATCTAGAAGTCATTGGGAGGCCTATGTTTAGCAGTGGACGTCCTGTGGCTGATATGATGATGATGATGATAACAGTAATATTATAAATTTGAAATTTTGGATGCTTGGATGTTTGTATGTTTGTCCGTTAACCACACTGAAACTACGGAACGGATTTTGATGATGACTGAACGAAATTTGGTATACAGGCAGGGTATGGGCTGACTTAGGTGATAAGATTTTTATACAGATTAAATGCTCCAATTGAATCATATTCTATGCGAATAAAGTCACGGGCAACATCTAGTTTCACATGTTTTTAAACATGATCTATTTTATAAAGTATACTTTCTTCTCGTTTTTATATCTAAACATTGATCATTTTATTTTCAGTGGAGAAGAAACCTACAATCCTGTTCCGTCACTCACAAGGCCCAATCGCGCAGACTAATGATGGGAAGCTGCTGGTCTACCCTGGAACAGTACTCCACATGGAATGCTTGTGGATGAGGAGATTTGGAAACCCCAAGTGGAATGTTACGCATAATAATCCGGAGTAAGTTGTTTAAACCTTAATATTGTTAAGGAATAGGAGGGAAAAGAGCAGATGAATCACCTGATGGTATAAGCAAACATCGTCGCCTGCCCACGAACGCTTCCAACACTGAGGATTAAAAAATGCGTCATCTGTCTTGGTGACGGGGGATTAGTCCTCCATTATGAGTAAACAAACATAATGAAACACCACTCAAGCGTTTTCACGCTGCTTTCCTATGAGATCTTGATGCCGCTCTGTTCAAGCAGGGCCATTCTTGACAAAGCATGGCACTTTGTTTTTGATGACGTGGTGAAACCTTCAAAAGGCGCCTAGCCTTTTTGGGGATAAAAGAAATAGGGAATGTAATGTAATAAACATAATCAGTTGAAAAAGTAAATTTTCTTAATTTTATCCTTTCTAAGTTCTGACCGCAAGTACATAGAGGGCTGGACCACGGACCCTGGGAGGGACAGTGCCTTGGAATACAGGTTGAGCATCATCAACGCTGAAAAGGAGGACTCTGGCATATACCGATGTGAGACACCGGCCCGACAAAGCCATCAGGTCGAGATAATTGTTGAAGGTAAGAAAATTAATTTCGGTAATTACGCTCGTTCGTATTCGTGATGCCTGAATAATGAACCTAGACACAATCCAAACTTTATATTGAAGCTCATTCTCATTTATAAGTAGTTTTGCCCAGACAATAAGCAGATCATTGTGCACCACAAATTCTAATTCTACATTAAAAAACGGTGTTTATGGTACCTACTCAATCTCTTCCACAGACGTTCATTGTCCTCCACTCCCTATTCGTCGTGGGCTCGTAGCCAGTGGCCTAGGCACCCGGCTAGGCACAGAGATTCGCTTCCACTGCGCCAATGGAAACGCGCTGCTTGGTGCGCACACGCTCGTCTGTCGCGCCTCGGGTAATTGGAGTGCGCCCTTACCTGTTTGTGAGAGTAAGTATATTTATAAACTTGCAATGAAATTCTAGACAATTTCTTCATATTTTTCCATAGTTTGGTATTATTCTTCTTAACCTTGTTTCAAGTTCGGTCGGCTAATTATACTTTTTAATTTCGTTTCCCCCCCATGACCTGCCCACCGTCATTTGTTGCAGGCGTGGAATGTGGTGAAGTAGTTCATGATACGCCACTGGGTGAAGGTGAGCGGAGACCACGGGTGGCCGTGGTGTCACGAGGTGTAGGTGGACGTGCTGCCTTCTCCTGTGCCCCTGGTTGGGCGCTGCGTGGAGCTCCAGAAACTGTCTGCCTGCCTGCTGCTGATTGGGCAAAACCTTTCCCTGTTTGCAGGGGTTAGTGGCTACTAGTTCAATAGTTTGTGACAAGTCAACGCCAGACTTCGGCCTTCCTCCTACATAAGCCGACTGGCCAAAGTTCATGACAAAGCTCGCATTGAAATTATTTCGTGGTCAGTAGGAACTTACCCATTATTTTGAAGTTCTCACTCTTCTCCCAGAGGTATCCTGTCCAGCACTACCCCCACCAGCATCAGGCTACGTGCTAGGTCGAGCACCGTACCGCGCAGGAGACGTACTGCAGTTCCACTGCAACCCTGAACATACACTGCATGGAAGACCAATACTGGTCTGCCAGGACAGTGGACGATGGAGTGATAAACCTCCTACATGTAAGTCTTCATTTTACAATAATTGCTACCGTCTTTTCTACTGGTATTTGTAATTTGAAGCAACTGAAGCGGAGGTACGGTCTAACTGTGGATGTCTACAATAAGAGGACAACCCTGAAAAAGACCTGAAAGGTTTTTGTAGCCTTTTGGAGAAATTTCAGTATGTAGCTAATTTTATAGAATTAGAAGGTATTATTGAGTTATGTGAACCAGTCCTTTACCAAAGCAAGAGCTTGGCTCAGATACAGTTTAGACTGTTATTAACAAATAGCCTTTTAAATGTTCTATAGTTTCACAAAACTGAAAGTTCTTTCTCGGTCGTCAGGTGCTCAAGCATGCACATACCCTGGCACTACAATCTCGGGCCGCATGTCTTCAGTCAAATTCTACTACAAGATCGGAGAGACTATCACATTCACCTGCGAGCCTGGGTACCGGCTGAAGGGAGCTCCTATGCTGCGATGTTTGAAGTAAGTCTAATCTTGGAAACGTTCTACTAGAACTGGTTTCAGTTGAACTGAGCCATCTTTCATAATGAATCTGCTTCAAGAAACAAGAATCTTATGTAGGTACTTAGCTTATAACATTAGTTTTAGAAAAATTAGTAGAGCGATTAAAAACTACAAAAGAGTTTTAAACGTGGAAGGTTTTTTATCTTATGGAACGAAGAAGAATTCCTTCGATGCTCTGTTTTTAATCCTAACTTTTCAATTTAGATTAGAGTGTATTTAATATCTGAAATTACTTTACAGAAACCGAAAATGGTCAAATGCGATTCCACTCTGCACACCGAACTCAAACTTCACATCATCGGATTCAGTCGCTATGTTCAACGGTGACATAGACGCCATGTTGTCTGACGAGCCGGCGGACATCTTGAGGACGCGGGAATCGCCCGCCATCTTGTCACCAGAGAGTTACAAAGCAGCTGTCACTAGAGCTGCAGTGTCAAGGCTACTCCGAAGAGGTCCGATCGAGAATTTTAGAAATAGAGTATTTAGAGTAAATAGGTTACTTCGGAGAGACACAGAAAGATAATTTTTAGGATATTTTTCTTAAATTTTTGTGTGCGGTAATTTGGCGAAGAATGCGTCGAATGTGAAGAAGATAGCACATCAAACTAACCCACATTCTAATCGATTTTTTACTTTATGACTAAAAAATAAAGTTGACATTCTATTGTATCGATTTGACAGGTTCGGGTACCTTGATGTGCTGTTGCGATTATGATTTTAATTCATTATTGGATTTTATAAGGCGTGAGTTTGAGCAGTTTTGGCTCTTTGGGTACTTAGAATATGTGTTGTACTTATTTTGTGAATATTTTCATCCAAATTGTCAATTATAATTATTAAAAAAATGTTTAGGTGTGTGTATAATGCGAGTTTCGAATCGTGAAGAAAATTTTGAAGTCCATTTTTAATTACAAATGTTTTTTTTTTTATATAAATAAAATAAGTAAGGCACAGGACATTACCGCATACAGAGCGCATTATAATAATTTTAGTAAATCGTGGTATTATTAATTTAGTTGTTAAATATTTGAATATATTTTTTGATTTGTTAACAGAAAAAGTAAGATAATAATTCACTAGAATTTATTTATTTATTACTTATTTTTTTAAATTAAACATTGCGAGTTTAAATAAATATTGATTTAAATGGATTTGAAGGAATAACTAAGAGACTAATGAATAGGTTTAGATAAAATTTTAGTAAAAATAATATATTAATTTATTTTTAAGTGTTGCTTAAATTATTTTCTTTGAAGACTGTTTAATTATAGAATGCATCACAAACGTTGCCAAATTTTTACTTATCATTTTTTTACTTAATTTTTTTTTTAATAAATTTTTACAATTGTAAATAAAAAAACGCTTCGCCAAAGAAATTTAGAATACTCTTATAAATATTAGTTACAACTTTGTAGATAAAATTATTATGGTAATAGTAAATATTGTAAGTTTAATTAATAATAATTAGAAAATGTACCGATTATAACAACGATATATTCACTATTAAATATTAAAACATTAATCGACTATACTTACTTACTTCACTTAGTCAGTGTACCTATTACAACATATTAAAATTTATTCTTATTCCGAAAAAAATACATTAATTGGGCAATTTTTTTTTTTTGTAAAGTGTCTAGTAGCAGGCCAATAGAATTCAAATTAGGTTTTAAATTGCATTAACCTTCTTTAAGTTAGGTACAAAAAGTTTTGTTGTAAATCGGTACATTTCACATTTTTCAAAGTCGTAATAAAAAATAAAAAAATTAAAAAGTAATTTTGAATACTGCGCTAGTTTGTACCACGCACAAATAAATATTTGGAAACAGTTTTGATCATTAAATCTATTTAAATTGGATTTAACTTAAATGTGGATTAAAAAGTTACTTATAACTTATAAAAAAACTTATAAGTTACTTATAACTTATGCTCAATTGTTAATTATTTTATTAAAATTTTATTGTTTTTAAGTATTGTAAATAAATTAAGATATTTTTCACCACAATTAAGTTAAACCCGTTTAAAAATATTATTGTGCATATCAAAAAAAACAAAATTGCATATCTTATTATTAATTATTACTTAAAAATTAATAAAAAAAATACGAAAGAATCAAATAAATCTTTAAATAGTTGTATACTTTTTCAAAAATAAAACTATGTAACTCTGTCCCATTAAAGAAAATAAATTAATAATAATAATAAAACAATGTGAACATTTTTCTGTTTTTTATTACTTTATTTTAGTATCCCACATTTTATAATTTGTATTATTTATTTAACAATTTAATAATATCAAGATCATAATCACCATCAACAGCCTATAAATGCCCACTGCTGATCAAAGGCCTCTTCTCACACGGAGAAAGTTCGAGCATTAATCACCACGCTTGCTCAATGCGGGTTGGCGATTTTAAACTTATAATTAGAAATTATAAAGCTTAGGTTACCTCACGATGTTTTCCTTCACAGTCACATTGGTCATTGGTACTTGCCGTTGGTAGGTTTCGAAACCGCACCCTCATCCATAAGAAGCATCATCAATCGAATCGAATCGAATCTACTGATTCATCATCACGCATGACAAGTCTTAAAGCTCCGGTGCACCACGACTCAGCTAATATTCAATACTATATACAGTGAAACTTGGTTAAGTGGGACCTGGATAAGTGAGAAACCTCCATAACTGGAACTCATGCTGAGGCCCCAACACTTTGGCACTGAATTACCTCTGTTAGTGGAACGAGGTAAACCTCTATATCTGGGAAATCCCAGATAACTATGATGATAAATCTAAAGAACAAATGTTCTTTAGATTTATCATCATAGTTATGATAAATCTAAAGAACAAATGTTCTTTAGATTTATCATCATAGTTACCTCTTTAGATGAGACAGCGAGTAAATTTTATATGCATAAACCTCTGTAACTGAGATAACATTGTTTGTTTACTCATTCTTATTCTACCCACAAATTAAACACGTAATTCCAAGTCCACCTCTATTAATGGAACCCTCTGTAAATGAGACAGATATTCATTTATACCTGTATACCTGAGACTCTGGGTAAGTGGAATACCTCTATAAGCGAAACGACATTGCAGGTCCCTTGATGTCTCACTTAACCAGGTTTCACTGTATTTACTAAAATCTGCTAGTATTTAAAGATGTTGGAATATAATACAGTTCATTATAAACACCCATCTTATTTGAATATCATGAAGATACCTATCAAATTTAAATTCTATAAAGAAATCCCGTTGTTCGCTAGTCGCAAGCGCAACTAAAGAACGACTCACAAAATAAAATTGATAAAATTAAATTAACAATTTCTTGAGTTTATCGACATTCAAAATTCGTAACACAGACTGCCGTTGAGCAACTCATTTTTGACTCAAGCGAAGTATTTCTGAGATTTATCCATTTTTCGTGAAGGACTAAGGGGGAAGCCAGCACTGGACGTCTTCTAGCTATTTATTGATGATGGCGAAAATAATGATCTGTTTTTAGCCGTCTATTTCCCATTTTGACACAGGGAAAATATTCTAAACTATCTTAGCTAATATTATTTATGCATTTGAGTACCTAGTACAGTCAAAACCGCTTACAACGACATCGTTTATAACGACGAATCAGTTACAACGACGAAATTTTGAGGTCCAGTCTATCCTTACTATAATATTATAAATCGGAAAGTGAGTTTGTTTGTTTGTTCCGCTTTCACGCCATAACTACTAAACCGATTGCTTGTCGCGGAGAACCTAACGGGTAACCGGGGCTCCGGCTCGACGTGCAGGAGAGGGAACGGGGTGGTTTTTAGTCAGTAAGAGTCTGACACCTCACCGCTCCCGCCTCACCCAGGCGGAAGCAGTCATTCGATGATTTTCCCCCCTTAAAGAAAAAAAAAAACCGATTGCTTTGAATTTTTGCAGATGTAGGTATAGAGGTAGTTAGAAGTCCGGATTAAATAATAGGGTACTTTTTATCTCGGAAAAATGTGATATATCTAAGGGAAAACAAAAATATTGGTATAGATGGCGCTGTGTGTATTGGTATATGTCACATAGGCTACTTTTTATCCTTTTGTGACGCGAGCGAAGCCGCGGGTAAAAGCTAGTTGTCTTATAAAGCATAAAGATATTGGTTATAGCTACTATTGGTTATAACGATCATAATAATCGGTCCCTTCGATATCGTTATAGACGGTTTTGACTGTACTTATTTATAAATCCTACATCAATTTTATTACCAGCAGGTTACCTAACAGTTAGGTACCACCTGAGGTTGTTTATAAAACAAATTACATTACAGATTAGCTACTGGGAAACTCGTAAATCAATCTTAAAACTGACGCAATGTACTACGCTTGTCTTTAATTCAATCAAGATTGATTTGAGGCGACATTTCTTTACAATTATTCTGATTTAATCTGTATACATTGATGGTTTTGTTCAGTGCTATCGTCAAAAGTAACAGTAAAACACGCAATGGATGTGAAACAAAGCGATAGTTTGTTATAAATGTTAAGTTTTTAGTACGTGTTTGTGAAGCAAAGATTTTCAATTCAGTTCGGCGCGCATCGCGCTCACGGAATGACGTTTGTAGTCCCGCGTTTTCGCGCCAAAACGCGTGTCACTTCTCAACTGTCAAAAAAGTGTTCGAAATACGAAAAGTTTTAGTTTTTATTTGTGTTGTTTTTTTCGATAATCTATCGTAAGATGGCTGGTTGATTTTCATAGAGTTTTTTTTTGTTTTTGTTAAAAGTGTGTGTTATTGTGTTTGTGTTTTAAGCAATGGTGTTCTATGGTATTGTGCGGCGATAAACACCGATAAGAAATAGGTAATATTTTATGAGAATTATTTTAAGGTACACTTAAGAAATGTCATTAAGATAACATGGCTGTATGACCTGCATACCTTCGCCTACCTTCGACTGGTAGGTAAACGGTTTACTCATTAGGAATTAGTCGTTGGTTCATTTTTAATGAAGTAAAGGTATTTTATAAATACTTATATATATATTTTAGTTAATAAACCTGTTTGTCTAATTGTTTGTAGGATGTAGTAAATATTTTATAGTGTGATGATAGGTAATGTGAGTGTTTTCTATATTTAATATGTCATGTGTTTTTCTTTTCTATTGTTATGTTCTGCTGACTGAAAGAGATTGGGCCTCACGACACAGGGAATATAGTGTGGGGTCCAAACCATACAAAAATGTAATGTTTTTTTTTTATAAATACAGAAATTAATAACCAATTTCAAAATCTCTAAAACCATCTCTGTTTTTGATAGAAACTCACAACTAATGTTAAACGTCGATCAATAGTCAAAGTCAAAGCATTTATTTCAATTAAACCATAATTCGGTACTTTTGAAACGTCAACAAATACAAAATAAATAATAGTCTGTCAGTCAGTCCGTCAGTGAAGCTAGGTGCTCATTCCATAATGTAAATTCGAATGGAGAAGAAAGAGCAAGAAACTCCATTCGTTATCATCTTAATCCTATCGAAATCCTATCGATCTTAATTCACAGCCTGAATAGTTTTCTCGTTCACTTTATATTTAATAAGATAACATTTTACACATTTTATATGAAGACTAGCTGACCCAGCAAATTTCGTACGGCCAAAAAAGTTTTTTTCACCTTTTAAACATTTCATTTCATTTTAAACATTTTATGGAATTTAATCTTCTTGCCTATGCTACCTCCAAAAAGACTACTAAGGCTGGCCGTTACACACGAAATCTTCAGTAATATCGTAACCTGATTCAGTACCTAGGCTGAAACTCAGGTATTGCCTAAATTGAGACTCAGACATTGATTACACAATCCTCGATTTACGCTAGACCAGACTGGGTCATTATTTATCGACGGTTTGACGAAAATTACTGACAGAAATCGATTTTCTTAAATTACATTTTAAAGTCAATGCCTATTGGTTCTTTGGTAGTTTGAGTGACTCTAGAACATGAGTATTGGAGTTCTATTACAATCCATCTGTCCTATAACCAAAAATAGGTCCTTCTTATGGCAATTTTTGCCAACCAATCCCAAACCACCTCTTAAAGAATTACATAGCATAAGGGAGCACTTGAACTAAACCCTTACCTTTAAATGTCTTATTGGTTGGTATCATGCCAAAATTTCGTTAAGTGTCACCTGTCTTAGCTCAAGGGTTCCTTATAATATTTAAGAGAAGTTTGTCAAAAACGAGTAGGTATTCTTGCCTATTAGTCGTCAAAACAGTACAAAACACATTTTCTTTTCATATTGCTTGCGATCTATCCATCGTCTCTTTTATTATTTGCAGTCTAAAATAAAGAAAGAAGAAATGTAGGTAGGTATATATAAGAAAACCCATCAAAATCGGTTCAGTAATTTAGGCATGAAAGCGTAACAAGCTCACTTTCGCATTTATATGTTAGAAATACCTACGACTGCCTCCTTACAGAATGGGTATAGTTCTACGATTAAATAAAAATTACATAAATATCAGAATGAAATAAAAAAAACTATGCCCCTATTAGATTAGAGCTGTTTTTGCATTAGCAACCCAAAACCTAAAAAAAAACGACACGAAATCCTAAATTCCTACAAAACTAATTCACTAAATATAATACATAACATTTCCTTAATACTAACCTAGTACGTAAGTACCAAAAGAGCATAAGTGCACAAAAACAATTGAAAACTAGACCGTATCGCGAAGGAAATAGAGTGTGAAAAATTGAGAGAAGAAATTTTGTAATAATAATAATTTTTCATTCGATTTCCGACATGATTAATGCTAGGAACTGTGTTGCTGGCCGTTTGTATATCTCGAATCACGCCAAGAAACAATTGAAATCGATTTTTTATCGGTACACTTCTCGATTTATATTGAATCGATCGATATGCACATCGATAACTCGGTCTGTCTAATTGCTTTATTGCATGTTCAGTTTTTATTGTGTCCGATAAAGATTTCATTTTGTAATTGTTTTGAAACTGGATTTTATGGTCACATCGTCAATGTCCGTGCATGTAATATTCTTAAAGTTTGGCAATTGGAGTAGTCAAGATTCAGCAACATGTTACGATTTTCTAAACCAAATCTTCAGCAGAATACATCTGGCATTATCGCTGATCTATCACAATAGCCTAACTATTGATTATTATTTATCATTTTATTTAATAAAGCAATTGTGAACATCAGTGGTGTAACTATACTCTCTTCGGGGCCCGTGGTAAACCGCATGGTGGCCCGCCTTTTAACCCCGAAGGGGTAGGCAGAGGTATATATTATGGCAGTTAATGCCACTGTACAATTTAAGACCCACTTTTCACTATTTATGTTATGAGTCCCATGTCACCCATAATAGGGGATGAGCCTATTGCCATATACCGGGCACAATTCCGGACTCCGTGCTATTACTGAGAGTTTTTTTTTTTTAAATCCCGCAATACTTTGCCCGACCCGGGAATCGAAACCAAGACCCCTAGCCTAGTCGCACTTGCGACCACTCGTCCAACTAGGCAGTCTTCCAGAAAATATAAAATAAATATTAATTAACCGACTTCAAACAAGAGGGGGTTGAAGCCGGTTTCATTAAATGTAGTAGACTTTGTAGTAACCTCTGTCTTTGACCGACCTGTATTTTGTCACAACGAAATCAATACCAACTTTATAGATAGGATTAACTGACAGAGGAAGTCCGTAGCCATATAGAACCTGTTACTAGTCGGTTATAACCCGGATGTGTTATGTATTGATTACAAAATAAACCTGCACGTGTCATATTTAAATAGACCAATGCACTTTGTCAAAAACAATTAGGTATAGTTATAAACAATGTATTGAATGGCTGTAGTATCTGTGATGCTAGTCTAGTAGGCCATGGCAAAGCTTCATTACCTAGTCAAATGGTCGAATATCGAAGGAAGTAGTTTGATGGTCTTGTAAAGTACTACTATCGTTTGCGATATTAGGAAACTTTTCAAGTTATATTATAACTTTGAGTGAGACATACTAAATGAATGAAGTGGAAACTATCGTTTTATTTTTCTTCTCCTATTATAATATCTTTTGAATCACTTCGTTGCGGGGACCAAGACAGTTATTCATGTCCCCGGGACGCGCCGGACTTCAGTGTTCCGGTGTTTTCATGGTTGTATCTACTGTAGATCCTGGCTTACAGGAGTTGCAGCGGTTTTGGGAGGTTGTGGCGAGCTTGTCTCAATTAAAAAACTAAATTATTCATTTTGTTTTACGGCCTACTCAATTCTATTATTATATTTTTCGGCCTAGCAGCGCGATGTATGAGCCTCTAACATGGCTTGAAACTGGTCGAGTTCCTCGTGAAATAATTACGTGATTAAGCCGAAATACATAATAATTGACTTTTCAAGTTTTCAAGCATTTAGGAGTCTGAAATTTAATCTAATTGTGCATGTGGTCGAAAACCCACCTTCCAAATGATATAAGTACCTACTTCTCGCTCAATTCCGACGGTTTTAATTTTGTGATCATTACAGTGTTAAGTGTGGGAGAGCCATGCTTCGGCACGAATTGGCCGGCTCGACCGGAGTGATACCACGGATTCACAGAAAACTGACGTGAAGCAACGCTTGCGTCGTGTTTCGTCGTGTGAGTGAGGTTACCGGAGGCCCAATTACGTCCCCCCCTACCCCAAAAATACAGACTTAGTTTTAATTCTCTTGCCTGACAAAAGTATCAAAATGAGTCTAAAGTCTAACTTTATCTTTCCATTCTGAAGCGTAATTATCATTTTAAATAGCTACGTGAGCTGAGCACGTTTTAATCTTCATGTAATGACGTCTTAATTTAAAATATCGTCTTCAACTGAATTTTAAACAACTTCACAAAAACTTGGACATCTACACGTAAGTAGGTATGTAATTATGTTTGTTTCGTCCTGGCGTTGTATAGTTAAATATGCCGAAGGTCCATCCATAACGACTAGGACATACTAATCTACTAAAGGCCGGTTATATAGGCTACTAACGACTGATTTTTCCAACGCTAGATAAAATTTGTCGGAAGTTTAAATTTGAATATTAGACTTTCATACTAAAAACTGTCAAATGTCAATTTTTTCAACAGTTAAAAAGTATCTGTTGTAAAAAATCAGCAATCAATCAAGTAGGTGCAAGATATGTCATAATCGTGGCATTTGCCTATCCCATATTTCCGTTGTCTCTGGTCACAACTGTATTATTGCTTTTGTCTTCGACTTCCAGATCGGACAAAAATGTTATTGGCACTTTCAGTTTACGAAAGTACTTAGAAACAGTAGGGAGGTACAAAGTTAGGCAGTCATGTATGGCTGACTATAGGGTTCACCCTATCCATCATTTCAAGTTGTGTATAAACAATAAAATTACTAACTTTGAATAACTCTTATTGTGTAAAATTATGTTAAGTTTTACTCTCATAAAGGTCTCATTTAAATTTCTCTGTACCTTCTGACATAAATCCTTTGCAGTCTACCAGTTCTCTATGCCAAGGTCAACCGGCTCTACACCGAGCCAGCATTGTCTATTATAATTAAAAAGTAATTGCTGTTTAACTTAACGAATGGAACGCAAACAGTTTTGTTAGCAGTGACGCCATATTGGATTCAATTTGGCGGGATTTATGACAGTTCTTTAAGCGATGTTTGTGAGTGTCAATTTGTTTAAATGATTAAATTAAGGTTAGTTAGTGATCAAAAGTTAACACAAATCACATTGGAATGAATATGAATGTCGCTACCAATTGCTTTCTAAACCATTCAACTAATGGCCTGAGCGACTGGTCAATACCTAGATGTTTGAATGAATAGCTAATTCTAA